CTGCTGTAATTCTTTATTTTATATGTTACAATTGAGTCTGTCATTGAATATTAGTTCTGGGAAATTAATCTTCCTAATTCCTTTGATTTGACAATTTTTACTTTTCGATGTCTTAGCTTTCAAAGGAATAACTTTTTTCTCGTGCTAATGTAGGACAGCTCATAGAGAAAAACATTTGTTCACAACTTGATTTTGTTTTTTCATGTTCAGCAAAATTGATATATTCAATTTTTCACAATTTTTGTAGAGTCATGATGAGGACCTTGAATTTGAAGAAATTGGCGGTGGGATTTGCACTTAGAGAGTACATGTATAATAGATATTCAAAACTATAATGGCTTTTGAGGAACTTTCCAATAGAAGGATGAAGCTGGAAAAGTGTGAAGGAAGTGTTAGCAATAGCACAAGAAGGAAGAAAAGCTATTAGTATCCCATGTAACATGAAACTCACTAAATTTGGTGCTGAAGTGGATTTGAAAGGTATAGAAACAAGAAACAAGTGGTGAATTTGCAGGTCATATTTAAGCATGCTTGCAAACCACATGTTAAGCTATCCTTTATTGTCCTTGAAATTTTTGTTTGTTTTTTATAGCAATTATGAATATGTCATTATTTTATATTCTGTTCTTCTCAGCCAACCATGCAAGTATAAAGTATTTTCCTTGATAATGTTTTATTAAAAAATATAATCTATAGTTGTTTTAATGGTATAGGATATTTGAACAATTGCTACCTCATGCATAGCATGAGTAAAATTTAAATTCCACAATTGGGTCATATAGGATTCATGATTAAGCCATTTAAGCAACTCAAAAAAAAAAAAAAAGAACCATCCATGCAAATTTAAAAAATATTGTAAAACTTCAATTTCATTCTCTTAAACTAAATGTTTGTAGATCATAAAAAATTATTAAACATGTTAAAGAATGAATCTCATGAAATGAACTTCCCTTTACATTATTTTTTAGCTTATTTATTTTATTATAGTAAATTAATCTTTTTAAAAAATCTACATAATAAAACCACGTAGTTTTCCTTTTAATAAACAATAAATTAACCTTTTTTTAAATAAATGTAATCCTCAGAAATATTTCCCATCCATTTAATCATGTTCAATCATCTTTTATTAGACTAACTTTTTTTGAATCCTTTTCTAAACGCAATTATTTTTTATAATGATCCATTATTAGGAGGGCAAAGACCTACAATTGCTATTATGGGAGGCAGTTGCCCTTGATAAAAAGTGAAAATTTAGTACAACATGTCTTTAAAATTCAATTCCCTTCATAAAAATTTCATTTGCTTCTATTAAGAATTTTATTAAGGGGAAAATGACGTTAAATGATGAAAAGATTAAATTAAACTACAGTAAGAATAAAAAGAAATGAACATTCAAAATAAGGACAATTTTTTTGAATTACAAGATATTGTCTCATCACTAAATCATATTTTGGCAATCCAACCAAGAGCATCTTTATCTGTAATAAAGAAACTATAACTATTAGAATTTCAAAAAGTTCATATCAAAAAATGACAATGACCTGTTTTAACACCGTTTTCAGCATCTCCAAAAATTTAAATTTAAATGTATAAACTATAACAATTTGTGTATATACAATAACACAAAAAATAGGACCACGAAAAAAAATGATAAGTTTTCAACTAAGAAAGAAGTAATGGTTATATGGAGCCATTACCCACAAATCCATTTTAATTTGTGCTAATCAATATCATAACATTAATCACAAAGGAAAACAAAAAGATAATGAAATGAGCATCCAAATGGTAAACACTTGGATAACGATGACTCAAAAGAACAAGAATAAGCACTAAAGCATATAATTCATAAAACAAGGAGCCACAATTCTAAGATTTTATGTGATTTTCAAGTGGAGAGTTCAGAAAATTATTTGCTTAATTGAAATCTAATATAAATCTAAGGTTCGCGGGTGTGTGGGTCTTTGTAACAACTAACAAGCAACATAATACATTGATTACATTATATCTCCCCTTAAAAATGGTTTTTCCTTTTATATTCTTTTATTTAAAGTACCTTCACTTCTAAATGAAAAAAACTTTTTACCATAAATTGTCAAGAAAGGAATTGTTCATGAAACTTCACGGGTACCAAACACTAGTTGAATTTGATATATCTACATACTTTTACTTAAACTTTTACTTAGAAATTAATTTTACATATAATGAGCTTGTGGAAATTACTTTAATTTTCTTGCAATAATTGGTTAGTACTTGAATTTTCTTAGACTTTTCCTAAAATACAGTTTTGCTAAAAAAATTTGACACAACTAAAAATTTCTCAAATACCTAATTTACCTTTCCTTTGGTGTGTTGCCTTATGTAACACCTTGGTCCCCCAAATGATAATGACTATTGGGCCAACATGCAATTCAATATATATATATATATATATATATATGATGCGCGCGCACGTGGAACACACAAACTTTTAGTTTCAAGCATTTCCATTAGTTATTGCAAATTTTGGATAAGTTGTTCATATCTAAATATTTTCCTGTATATATTTGAATATGACTTATTCATATAAAAAAATCAATTTTTGAAAGCCAATTTGTTTGATTTTTGACAATTTGTTCCTTCCATATTGACAAATGAACAATATTATAATAAATAAAAAAATACATACGTTATAAATTTATTTTCCAAGCACTTTGATGAGCTTTTGTTAATGCCAGATAAGTTGTTATTCATATTTAAACAATTACTTGTACATATTTGAACATGATTTGTTAATTTAAAAAAATTGTCAATTTTTCGAATGCTAGCTTGTTTCATTTTTAACAACTTGTTCCTTCAATATGTGACAAGTAATTAATATTATACTAAATAAATATGTTATAAATTTATTTTTTAAGCATTTTTATGGGCTTTTGTTAATATAGTGTCAGATCAATTATTGTTTATATCCAAATAATAACTTGTTTATATTTGAAAATGACTTGTTAATGTTAAAAAAAAAGTTATCAATTTTCAAGGGCTAGCTTGTTTCATTTTTAACAACATATTCCTTTAATATTAACAAGTAATCAATATTATGCTAAATAATGTGTGTGTGTGTGAGTTATTAATTTATTTTTCAAACATTTTTAGGAGCTTTTGTTATTGCTAGACAAGTTTTTGTTTATATCTGAATAATTACTTGTAAATATTTAAACATGACTTGTTAATGTTTAAAAAAGTTGTCAATTTTTGAAGGCTAGCTTGTTCCAATTTTTAGGCCAAACTAGTCCTAATTAATAATCTTAATAAATGATCTTAAGCTCAATTTAAACAATAATTAATAGCCTAAATAATTTATTAACATCTATAAATCTTAATCAATATAAATCCTCAATTAAACACTCAAAATACATCCTTCTTTAATTAAATCTTCAATTACAATCATTCCTCAATAAAAATCTCAATTTCCACAAAAATTGGGATATTTACAATGGGGTTTTATTTTTAAGATATAAAAACTTGGGAAATTTTAGTATTTGGTTAAAAAAATTTAATTGCAATTTAGGCCCTTAGGCCTACAAAAAAAAATTTAGAATTTATTGGACCTGGCATGTAATAAATCCTCCTGGGATTGGCAGGAAAAAAAAGTCCTCTTGGGAGGGCTGTAATTTATATTCTCCATTTAATATTGAGGATTGGGTTTTATTAGCTTTATTAATTATTCAAATTACAAGGCAAGCAAAAGCTTGAAGAAAGGAAAGAAAGATGAAAAACCACAAATTCCCAAATAGAAAACACCTCTTGGAATTGATTTGATTCTAAAAAACATATGATTTTTAATGGATGTACCGATTTTTTTATTAATTTTTCTGATTTTCAACATTCTTATTTTAATTATAGTGATTAGCTAGTTTGGGTTAAGTTTCAGGCTGGATTAGCTAGCTATTTGTTTACTATTTACTGATTTTAACTGGCTTTCATATTGTATATCATTCAGCCTGTTTGGATTGACAAAAAAAATCAATTATTGAGGTTAAATAATCAATTTTTAAAAAATTACCCAAACAACTACTTAATTTGATAATTGATTAGTGAGTTAGAATCACGTTTTAAAATAAGTTTTAGAAGGTTGCTTATAGATTCAATTTTACTATTAAATAATACATTTTAATCCTTAACTAAGGTTTAACAAATTTAATAAAATTAAATACAACTTTATTAATAATTTAATTTTGAGAAACAATGTCTTTTATGGTAATTTGTATAGCTGAAATCAATTTTAATATCCAAATAGATTACGTTATAATATAATTAATTATAATTAAAATCAATCATATGAATTAATTATTTTACAATTAATTATATTTAATTAAAATTCAAATGGGTTCATTGTTTAGCACGTAGTCTACAATTTGCCTTAGAGAGTGGAAAATTAGAGGAATTTACACGCAATTCATTCCAACGGCAAGTTTGTAGTTAAAAGATATGCTTCTCATTACGTCAGACAAAAATAAGGTGTTTCTCAGGGGTTAAAAAAAAAAAAAAGCTGTTTTGCTATTGAATTGCCTGACGTGATTGTTACCAAAAGCAGAGAATCATGACTGCAAAATTTTGGTCATTTTCACGTTTGAAATTGTCACAGCTTCACATATATAGATGTGTGTGTGTGATGAGACCCTTACCTACATGGTTCCATAACTTACTAAACCACGTAATCTTTGTTACACGTGGAATAGAAGTTTCAAATTATTAACAGAATTGAGTCTAATAAAAAAATAATAATTTCTCATGGCATAATAAATCTCAAATCTTTAAAGGTGCCTACATTCTGTATCTAACCATATTTTGAATAAAATTATTTTTAATAAAAAGATATTTATAAGCAATAAAAGAAAGTTCCAACATATTAATGCTTGTCCTATGCCCATAATTCATGCTCAACCATCATGTCGCAAATCACATGCCACCAGAAAAACTTAAAACCCCGCCAAAAGTTCAGAGTCTACATGAAGAGACATACGTATAATTAACACCACCGACATATTTATAGATAGGTAGATAAGTACAGCTTCCACGTTTTATTATAAGTTAGACACATAATAACAGGTATGCGTATGATTGAACTTGATGGATGAGATTACTTGACAAGACCCAAATTGAGGATGCCCCAAGAAGTGTTAGGCCAAGATTTGTCCTTGGCCTTCATGAACAAAACTCTTGCCCAAGCAATCCATCCTTCCCATGAATTCCTCTTGTCCCAAGGACTTCCCCATTCCAGCAACAGTCTCAATCCTCTCTCTGCTTCTTTCTCTGCCTCGTCAAATCTCCCTTTGCTCAAATAAACCTGACTCAACACCACATGTGGCTCTCCTACAAATGGATTCTTCTCAATACTTCCCTTCAATAGCTCTTCAGCTTTCTGACTCGCCACATTATTACCACACACAGCTTCACAATACATGTCCCTCGCAACTATTTGATCATTCGCATCCAAAACTCTCGTGCAATTCTCGAACAATGGCGGCACCGGCAGCTCAATATCTTCATCTTTATCACTGTGATCAGTATTGGTGTTACCTGCTGGAGATCAAAAAGTCCCACAAATAGATCATAAATATATAATCTTTAGGATATATTTAACCCAATGATTTAAGTTATTTTAATGAGGTAGATTATTGTTAAACTTAAAGCAAAGAATTTGACATGTATCAAGAGCGATTCAATGGGCGATGAAAAACAAGAAAAATACGAAAGAGAGAAAGAAAGAATGGAAGATGAGGTTAAAAAAAACAAAGATTAAAAGAGAGAGTAGTAGAAGAACAAAAGGAAAAATTGAATAAAAAAATATTATTATTTAGGCTAGAATATAAAATGTCGGTCAAATAGATCACTAAGCTATTTGGGTTGACTAATTGAAGAGTTAGGCTCAATCTGAACAAAGAGGCCGATTCCGAGCTTAATAGAAGGCCACAGTAGAATAAATATGTTCAAATCTTGTTATTTACAAACATAGGACTGATCCCAAGTAGTTCCGAACTCCACAGACATTGTGTCTAAGTATTTTGGTGAGATGGGTTAGTTGCCAAAAATAAAAAACAATGAGTAAAGACCATGCAATAAGTCTTACAGGATCCCTGATTCTTCAGCAGAACGTTTTAGGTCTTAAAGGAATGGTTATCATCACTCTAACACTATAAATAAAATAGGAAGACACGGAAGAAAGGACTTGTAATCCTTTTACATTCCAACAAAAATAAAAAACACTTATTCTATCAAGTTTTGTGTATCTTTTACATTCTAGTGTGGTAAAGAAGCTCGAGATTTTATTAATTGAGACTCAACATCTCTGACACACCTGATATTTATTGTTTACATACGAATAATTTATATTTTAAAAGACTAAAAGATTTAAAAAAAGAAAAGAAGAAAAAGAAAAATTAAATAGACTCGAGTCACACACAAAAAAAAAGATAGTCCAAAAATAAATAATAAAAGGAATATTAGACCTATATCTAGAAATTATATGATAGAAACTATATTTTAATAAAGTTCTCCTTCATCCAAAGTTATAAGAAAATTTGAGATATGATTATGCACATCAATAAAAAATTTTTTAATACAAATTATGAACTTTGAAAATTGCCTCTATATATTTAATCATTATATTATAATATTATTTTAATTATTTCTTATTTAAAATGTAATATTAAAAAAGTATTTTTAATGCAATATTTTTTTTTCAAATTTTTCTATATTTTAAGAAATTTACAATTATTAGTCGAGTTTTACTTTTAATCTCTATAATTTTTTTTTAACAAAAATGTTTAGCTGACTCAAGTCCCTATAATTTCAGCATTTAAAAAAAACTACTGACTTGTATTTTAAAACAACAATTTTTTTAAAATTTATCTTACAATTTGAAATAAAAATATAAACTACTAGTAAATTTATGTAAATGTTTACTTTAAAAAAATATTTTATATTTCATAAAAAATAATAAAATGAGTGAAAATATTAAATTTTTTTTACCTAAATTCACCAATTTTAACTTTCTAACTTTCAATTTAAATTCATTTAACATTAAAAAATGGACATTACCGGTTTTTGTTTTCTGCTCTTCCAAGAATATCTCTTCCTCTCTCACTATTAAATTGTACAAAGCTGCCATTCTCGAGATCGAATTCAACCACAATCCTGGCTTCCCGTTTCCTGGCCAAAGGGCTTCAAAGTTGTTCCCGGAGAATTCAAGGCGGCCGTTGGAGTTTTCGAAAAGCGTATCCTGGAAACCAAACAGTTGGTCGCTGAAATCCGCGACAGTCATCAACAGGAAGACTGCAACGATCCTTCTAGAAACATGAACATCTTCTCCAGTACGGATATGCTTCACGGTTATCCCTTCAGCAGGAAGCAGACTCTGCAATTTCTTCCTCCAAATTTCTTCGCCGTTGAAGATCCCCTCCTCCTTCGCATTCCGGAGCGATAACTCGGAGAACTTGAGGTGTTCAACGAGTTCGGAATCGGCGTAGTGGAACAACAGATCGTCGTGAATAATCGGCTGCCTGGGGACAACACAGAACAAATGAATCAAACGCTCGGCTTCGTCGCCAACATGAGAGCGAACGGTTTCACGGCCGGTGGAGGGATCGAAGATGGCGAGGTTAACGTAGGAATTGGAGTAAGCAGAGTGGAAGAGACCGCAGAGGGACACAGAATATGGGGCTTTCCAGAGATGGAGGATGCGGAAGATGTCGATGAGGTGTTGGAGGAAAGTGCCGTGTTTGTGCCAGCACTCGCCGGCGCCGACCGAGCGAAGGACGGCGATAAGCGACGGCAAGTGGGGATCAATAGTGTGGAGCTCATCGCGGAGGAAGGGACGAGCAGAGTCTAACAGGGTTTGGAGGTAATCTTGTTTGGTTTGTGTTGGCCTTGGAGCAGATAGTGAAGAAGATACCATGGTGAGACTCAGATCAAACCAGAGAACGATAATTTAGCTTTTTCTCTCTCAAATTATAACGCGAGAAGGATCGAATCAATGGATAATGATTACATCTACAGAACCAAGAGAGAGACGTGACGTAGTCAGTTTCTCGTTTAATTTGTGCGGTTCATATAGAGTGAGATTGAGAATGGGATAAGTTTCAAGGACCCAAATTCTTGGGCCTGGCTGAATCTTTCTGTTGAGATTTTAGTTGATAATTAATTAATAATTAATTCTATTTATTTATTCATTGTGTTTCAAATTTTAAGTTAGATTTATATTTTATATACTCATCAAATTCAACATTATATTGCATTTTTAATAAAATCATATATTTCAATAAGTTAGTTCATTGTTTTAAAATTATGCACTCTTTTCCTATTTACTTTTATTTAATATGATATCTTAATTAGATTTTTATTAATTACAACTCTAGTTAAGAGTATTTTGAAATTTAATTTATTAATTACCTCTTGAAAGACACAAAATAGTTAATTAGATATTTGAATATTTTACCTCACAATTAATGCATTAATAGTAAAGAAGGATTAAGGCATTTATTTTTTATATTAGGAAATAAAGTATCCTAAATTACTACATTAGAGGGTGAGAGTTCACTCGTGTTGAAAAGATAAGTATGAAAAATTTATAGGGATTAGCTGACACCAGTGGATCCACGATGCAGCATATTAGAGGATTGTACCATGAAACATCCTGACACTCTAGCAACTCTCTAGTGCTCATATGAGTATGGATAGGAATCACTACACCCTCATGATGTGATAAATTCAAATTAGATATGATATTATGGATTATATTTAATTAAATTTTCATAATCTATATACTATATATAGATAGGGATGTGCTTTATAAAGAGAATTAGAAAAGTTCTGGTGGCAAAACACTTTGAGAGTCACGAAATATTTTATAGAGAGAAAAACTAACATTCAAAAAAGAATGAACACTAGGAGTGCTAGTACGCTGTTTGAGTTAGAGAATTGTTCATGTGGATACCGGTAGTGATGGACCCCATGGCACAGGTGACATAGCATTAATGGCAACGAAGCTTGAGGATGGTAATCATGAGCATGGTGACATAGACGGAACCCAATACTTCCAATCCGACGTACCTAAAGACCCATTACAACATATTGGAGGTCCAATGACAAGAGCCTGAACTAAAGCTATGAAGCAAGCCTTGTTTAGTCTTGTGCAAGAAGTTCGAGAGCTTGGAGAGTATTGGGGCACTCCTCTCAAGCCCAAAGAAGAGCATCTATACGTGTATAATGTATTTAAGATCCAAACTTATGAAGAGTCAAGCCCAAAAGATGCAGACCTTAGCCTAATGCAATGAAGACTACAAGTTGAGCCTCTTGCAAGTAAGGAGGCATGAAACCCTAGTAAAGAAGTCAAGGGTGGTGTGATTTTAAATTCTTTATAATCCCTTGGTTGTCTCCTAAATTAATTCCTATTTTAATGGTCTTTTCATTTGATTTTCTATTTTGAGTCTAGTTAAAGGTTAGAATTAATTATAGTATTAATTTCTAAATTTTGTAATCCATAATTTTAGGATCACATCTCCTATATTATGTGGCTGAATATTTTATCATTATTTTATATTATTTCTCCTTTTAGTATTAGGAAATTAGGGTTTTAATTTTAGGAAATATTTTTTTATGAGCCTATATAAATTAGGCATGCTCCCTATTGTAAACAACACAGAAGTTGAATGAAATTATTCATTTTAGAGTTTATAACTCTTGTGAGTCTTAGTGCTTTGTGGTGGTATCTCGTGTGAGAAACAGACGTGATCAAGAGCGTGATCAACTTTTGTGGTGTCTTCGAAGGTTGAGGTCCCTAGAGGCAGGTGCTCTAGAGGATCTTCTCCTTGATCATTATCCTATTGTTTACTTCATACCTTTCTTTATTTTCATCATAAATTTCGTCCCTTTCTTTTTCTTCTTGTGTTTTTGTTGTTTCAGGGTTCTGTCCCTAAACTAGCACGATTCTGCTTCCGCGTCCCTATCAGGTAGAGAGAGCAGATCTACGTTGTTAGCTCCTGAGATCCAAACTCTTGAAGAGAACACGTGCTAAGTTCGAACAATTAAAAGGTAACTCTTCTATCTATCTTGATTTAAATGAATTTGTTTGGTCCATATCAGAATAGGGACTTTAAAATTTTAATCTTCCACTGCATCTCCCTATACAATAGTTACATTCTGGCTTGTATTGAAAATGCAAAACTAAGATAGTTTTGAGCTATGAACATGCATATAATTTTGAAAAGATGAATGTGATATCAAGTTGAGGAAAATATGGGTAAATGAAGAAATAGGTAATACAATGTTGTGTCAGGCCGTAGCATCAATTGACTCACGAGGCAGTGGTGAGCCTAAGTGGGTGAAAGACCCTAGAGGGTATGGTGAGATGTTACACTTGAAAAGCGAAAAGTAATATTGAGAAAATGAGATTTATGAAAATAAGTAGACCTCGAATATGGCATGATTAGTTGGCAGGAGTTTGCCTAGAGATTGGAAGTAGTTAAAATTCATATGGTATTTAGGCTACCCTTCAGTGCATGAGGGATAGCCTTGTCCCACATCTTATCGAGAGACTATCCCATAGTTTGTCGAGGGACTAGAATCTAGCTTTCTCTATAATTTTATTGAGGAGAATAGTTTAGGGTATACGACACCTCAGAGATTTAAGAGTGAGGGGGGTTGTGTTTTGAGAGTGAGTTATGTGAACTTTGGCTGGGTCGCACCTCACAATTGATGAGCTTCGGTAGTCCAGTCACACAGACAGAGCTTTATTCAATGTTATAACCCACGATTTCAATTAGAGGAAATAAGGAGGGTATAAGGTTGGTTGATCATTGTCTATGTAAATTATATGAGGTGTCACATGATTAAGATGTGGCAAGTCATGTGGATACTAGGTCATAGCCACGTGTCTGTTTGTCTTGTGACAATATGCCTGATAATGAGATGAAAATAAACTAAAGAAATAATGATAAGTCATGTTGTATGTGTATAGCATGTTTGAGAACTTGATTTTATATGTATGCGTTTTATTTACAATTGATATATAATTGCATAGGGTATGTTTTATTTTTATTACTGAGTAGTAAGACTCACCCTTTTCATTTAATATTTTAAAGGCTCTAGCTTTGGTGTAGAGAGGGAGAAGGCTTAAGAGGCTAGGAATTAGTTCATTCCTACTATATGCCTATAGATTATATTTATTTTGTGTAATAAAACATTGTTTTCAATTCTAGGTTGCATATTGTTGCACTTGTACTATTTTGATGTTGTGAATATTTGAATTGTATTTTAGGCATTGAGTATTTTTTATGATAATTTATATGTTGATAAGGCCAAAATACTAATGCAAGTGTAAAAATGATGTTTCAAACATGTTTTGATCTGTTTTGATACAATACAAGGCAAATTGCCTTCTCCTTCTGTTTTTAGTGAAAAAAGGGTTGAGTAGTGATTTTGTGTTATATTGTTAATTAAGCATGAATGATTTGTTGTTCTGATAGTCCTAAGTCCAATAGACATAGTCCAGGTGTTAGGAAAGGCTTTTAGTACTTGTTTTGGATTTTGGACATCCTAAGTTGTGAAAAGTGATCAAAATGGGTTCGGGTGTCTAACTTCTTAGTGTGACTTGTTTTGGAAGTGAAACCCATTCCATTAGCTATTTTATGGAAAGAGTTTTGTGTAAACACCTAGATAATGTCATTCGGACGTTGTATGGAGAATTGGGATGTGTTAGAAGTTTCCTAATTTTGTTGTCAAATAACAGTAGAATTAACGTGTAACATGCTGAGGCGAATTGGCACTTGAGCTGGGGTGTGTGGCACAGAGAGCAACACACTGCAGTATAGCATGCACACATCCTAGGGCATTGCCCTATTTTATAGCAAATGAGTTGTTCTTCATTTGTTTTCATTCTTTTTTACTCCTCTGAGATATCCTATACTTCCGTAACTTGTTTTTACTTTGATTGATGAGTCAATGGATGATTGGAACATGTTTTAACTTTATAAAAGTTGGGGTCCCTTGATTTGAAAACTAAAACTTGGTAATCTCCTTAATGGATTAACCCTTTGATTACCATAGGTTTGGTTAGGTAATTTTGTTGAGTAATGAGGGATTTTACAACTTCACTTATGTATCTATTGCTCTGACAATATTACTGTTGAGATGAATATTGAAAAAATGACGGGAATATAGGCATTTCAATAATCAAGAAATATTTAATCCGTCCCAAGGTTGTGTTTAAAAGAATTCCAAAATAGGCAAGAATGTTAACACAACATTTGGATTTTAAAAATATTGAGTAACAAGAGAGATTCAAAACTTATAAGATATGGAATGAAAAACAAAGCACATTTCTTCATATTTATATTGGAATGAACATGCTTGTTTTGGAATAGTTAAGAACAAAATAGTTAGAGGCACATGATTTGCTCTTCCAAAATATTGCTCTTATATTGAAATAAGTTTATGCAAGATGGTGATCTATGAGCTTTATTTAGGAATAAGAGAAGCTATTCCAAAATATCAGTTACATAGTCCTGTATAGCTAAATTTATTTTGGACTAAGATATTTTGTTCTTAAATAAGTGCATTGTTTCGAAATAGAAAAAAAGAAAGAGACTCTAAGAAACAACTATTATTCTAGAATAAATAGATATATTTTGGAATATGAAGGGTACACACAAACAAATGATTTTGGAATAAAGGTGCTATTTTATAATAAGAACCTTATAAACAAAAAGCACATAAAAGATTTCAGACTTTAAATTTTTGATTTTGAGAGCATCTAAAATACTTCTTAGACATTAGAAATGGTCCTTAAGAGATTAAGATCAAGTTTAATTTTTAGAAAGAAACTCAATTAGATCAAATAAAGATTAAGCTTTTGAGTTTCTTGACAATTTGGGATTAGGGATGATAAAAAAAGCATTAAGAGTTCAATCCTGGCTAAAGTTGTGTTTAAAAAGATTTTAGAAAGGTTATAAGGTTAACACAACTCATAGAGAATGAAAGGAATAGATATTGAATATGTTCTAAAGAGTACAAAATCAAACACAAAGAATAGAGCATAAAAAATTGATGCTCATACAGGAATACATGAGTTTATTC